CCCCCTGGGGGTTTTTTTTTTTTAATAAATTAAAGGAAAAATTACCGAAATTTAAAAAAAAAAAAAAAAAACAGTTTCCCCTATATTAAATGATAAAACATTTATTATTACCCAATTTTTTGGTAAAATATAAAAGATGGGGGTCACGTCGGGTAAAAAGACACTAAACATGTCAAGCCTTAAAATTGCGTGCGCGAAACCTCAAAAAACGATAATACCCAAAATTGGCCATAGGCGACGCTTTAAAAGCTGTTACCGCTCATCAGTTTAGTGTTATCAGTGATTGATAGCCCTAAAATGATTGCTCTCACTGCGACGTTCGCGACGATATGTAACGTGTAGCGCAATTGTAATTAGCAAAGGCACACTGACAGGTCCTCTTTATGGAGACATTAGGGGTCTCTAGGACCCCTAATATCACCTGTGGACCCCAAAAGAAGCTGATGAAGCAGAGATCTGCTTTATCAGCTTCTTCTCTCTGGCTATAACGAGCGAACGAGCACATATAGGCGATCGGCGGGCTATGGACCCGCTGATCGCCTATATGTGAAACACCCGGTAACGGGTGTGTGCAACGGTCGGGGCTTTTCTGCCCGTGCGTGCCCGCTAGGGGGCGCGCGCGAGCAGAAAAAAATTGCCGTCTGGAGACGGCAACCCGCCAATGCAGCAGTGCCGTCCGTCCGTTTTTTTACTACGGGCGGACGGCAAGAGGTTAAAGATGTAAACCATTTTTACATTTTTTATCAGCTATGGGAAACATGTAACAAATATAACATTGCTGTTATCCCAATTTGGCTGCCAAAGTGAAACTACACTTTAAAGTAAGCCTGTGGCTAGGCTGTGGACCTTTAAGTATTTCTCAGCAGGCAGTAAATGAGTTTAAAAGAAGTCATTACTCACTTATATAGCTGCAGGCACTGTGAAACAATTCAAACTCAAATTCCACCGCGAAAGAACGGAAGTCCTTATCTCACTGGAGCTAAGCTCACCATGCTCCCCCAGGGACTTGTGCACTTCTACTGTGAACTGAGGATGAATTGCTCCACAGTGCCTGCAGCTAATGAGATCAGTGAGGGCTTTTTCTGAAGCTCATTTTCGGTGTGTTAAATATATACATATACTTCAATGTCCACACCATGGTTTACTACAACATACATACAATTATATATGGAAAGGGCCAGAATGAGTTATAGTGATAATCTGATGAAAATTGCATTCATCTTTTCTCTTAGCTTGTGATCACATTGACAGAAATAAAAAGTCAACAGGTGACTTTGTACTTTGGGAAATCCCTGTTTTATTCCAATAATCTTAACACCTAAAACATTACAATTTCTGCCTATGTTTCAAAAAGCAGGTAACCTCAGATGCTAGAATGTAGCAACCGCGGTGCACAAAACCGAGCACCCGTCTGCCTCCTTTTATACCTCCTTCAAGATAGTGGGCTTCCTCAAAGGTCAACAGAAGGAGGGGGCGGATGGCATGCAACTTTCTCTCAAAAAAAGACCTGTGTTCCTGCACTCATGGGGCGCTGCAAAGCTTTATGAATAAAAAATATGAAGAACCAGAATTTCATCTTTCATACTATTTTTATATACTGAATGGTTTATATTACGGCCCAGTCACACCAAAACCACACAGTAAATGCATAATAAAAAAAAGTCTCTCTTTTACATGACAGCAGAGAAGACACATTTCAAGTAATTTTCAGTAGAAAAAAAAAAAAAAAAAAGATTGTCACATGCGTTGCATTGATGTGTCCGCATGCAATGCAAAAAATAAATGCAGTCTGCATACTTTAAAAAAATGCACATCATTACAATACAATGGGGGCGAACTACTTCCACTGAAATTCATTGATTTTTTGTGTCTAGGTGTTTGGTATGCATTAATACATCTAAATGCATTGGGTCCTTACTGTTGGTGGTAAATAAAATAAAAAAAAAAGGCTTGCTTCGATATTTATGCCACATTCACATTTCTACGGTTTGTAATGTATTTAACCCTATATATACTCTACAAAGAGCAATATTCACCATCGTGGTGAATTTATGTGCATACAAAAATACAATGCTATACATCGATACAATGATATGCTTCTGTTAAAGCTGTAATACTTGATTCTGATGTAAACTGGCTTGTTGTTCTACTTTGAAGGACTGTACAATCAGGAAGTCTTCACCCAACCGTCCTTCCCTGTACTACGGTAAGTACAAATCGTAAAAAGCAAAAGTATTTGCTCCATTTTGTATACTCAGCTTTAAAAAAAAACATGTCCAGAGCATTTTTTTTTTTTTTTTAAAAAGGATCAATGATCCCTGAGGGATCTTCGGTTCACTCAACCTTGTACAAAAGCATGAACTCTACATTATATTCGCATTAACTCTTGACTGACATGCTTTTGATTTCCTGCAGCAAATTAAAGGCAGATGCAGTTATTTTGACATTGCAATATGGTATAAAATCTATATTATCTATATAATAGAGGCAGCTGTCATAATAAAGGGAACAACAGGTTATTCTAACATCTAGGGCTGCAGCAACTAAATCGATTATAATCGATGATGGAAAACGCTGTCAAAGGTTTCCATCATCGATTAGTTGGCTTTCGATTAGTTGC